AAGTAATCAAGTTGAAAGCTTTATCCACATCCACACATTATAATTAATCACCCAGAACCGTTTCGAAACAACACTGCATCCCACAAGACGTATGATGAATTGTAACTTTTTGAAACTATATCTCATCGCCAGATCGCGTGAGGCAAGTTTATCGGTACTCGATCTAGCGTACACCAAAACACACTTGAAACAACAACGGAATTAGAATTCAGCCTGGTGATCTTTCTGTGAACTAGTGCAATTCTTTGCTGATTACCCATTTGTTCGGCTCATCAATTCTATACTGGCTTCCGGAAATATTCGTCGTATAAAATAAAAACATAAAAGTTGACTTTTGACGATGTTGATTAGCACATAATTTACCTCATAAAACGTTATAATTGCTGGACAAAACGTTCACAGCTTCATCAACCCTTTACTTTCTACACCGAAGCAACAAACAAATTGCATGGTATTGATATCGAAGAGTGCTATTTAAACACTCGACCACCTCATCCGCATACTAATTAGTTTCTTTCACTTAATTAAGAAGCCTATCATTTCATGTGTAATAGGATCGGAACACACTTTACTATGTAAGATAATGCGAGGAATTTCATTAGATGTAGCAGCAATAAAACGATTATCATGACTTGTTCAATTAGAGAGAATCGATTTGGAATTGAGGCATTGATGAAGTGACATTGAAATGGAGGCAGCAGCAGCAGCANGCAGCAGCAGCAGCATGACATTAACAGGAAGCTTAAAAAACGAATAGACGAACGAACACAATTCGATTTCTTTTATTCATCTTTATTTGGACGATAAATGAATTTAGAAGATTGATTAGAAATTCCTCAATTTGAACGGATGCAATTCTGGGGGTGGCGTTATAGGCGGTGGTTGATAATCGTCAAAAGTACGATGCAATCGACACGGTGGTAGTGGTTTTGAGAGGACACTCTTCACCCAGAAGACACGTTGTGACTTAACCACAGTTGCGCTGAAATTAATTCATCATTAAATAGTTTAATGTGGATTGCGTTGTTGTTGTTTTTGTCGTCGTTACAATCGTTTCTCACAATTGATTAAGTGTCGTAAAATATTTATTTCATCAACCTAATGAAAATGACAACGACCGACATTCGAGCGATTTCGTTCAACAAATTTCTTCAGCACATTACACACTGTTGTTGACAATTAATTACGAGGCTGATGCTGATAATTGCTTCCTTTCTATTTTGTTGGCTGCATTTTCACGCCTACAGCCACTATCTTTGTGAGAGTGTAACTTTGAATTGATGAAGCTAATCGAAAATATCAATTGATCAATTTGGATTTTTAGGCAAACAATAGAACCGTCCCATTTCTCGTTCCTAGATGTATCATTTATTCATTTATCTACGAGACTATTCTTCTCATAATAACTAATCGCAACACCGACAGATGATTCACACCAGAAAATCGCTCATTGTCAGAATGAAATAGAAAACTTGATGAATTGGTCTTTCTTCACATATCCAACGCTTTAATAAGAAGCGCTTTTTTATATGACTGTACTGACTCTTAGTCAGTAAAGGAATGCTGTGGTATTGTTGTGATACTTCAGGTAAGCCATTCTATAATTGGACGTAAACTCACACGAACTGTACTGTGTAATCATCATCTTTATCGTTCTTCCACCACAATTTGAGTTCATTTTTATCCTCCTCGTGAGCGTTCGTCACCGAGTCTTGAGTTCTGAAGCACTGTTGTCTCCATGAACCGTTGTCATCTAATCGAACCAATTTACCACTCCTTCAACACATCTAACAATGCAATGTGTATTTCATTAGAAGAAAATCAATTAAAGGAACACAAATTCAATTTTATTCGATCGAAACGATGACGCGAACGTTTCGCTGAACTGTCACCAAACACAAATGTATTCGCAAAAATCACTTGTCGCAATCTTAATTCGATAGCAGCGAATCTCAGAAACTAGTGGAACACATTCAGTGGAGATTTAGATGAAATTCACTGAGAAGTCAACAAATAATGATTTTTGAACTTTCATTATTGCGAGATCTAATTTGAGATCATTTAGGAAGTGATTTTTTTAGGCAGAAAGTGATGATTATTCGAACTAATAGCTGTGGGATACTGATTCCAGATACTGACTCTCTTCAGACATGGCAATTAAGTTTTTAGTTCATAAATTTGTTCTTTATATGAACGATATCTCTCGGAATCAATGCTCACATTTGGAAATGAACGCTTCAAAAATGGTTAAAATACAATGGAAACAGTTCAAATTGAAGAAATGTTCAGGAACCAACCGTTTCCCTTTTCGAATACCTTTGTAAATCAGTGGTTGTATGACGAAACCTTTGAAGTATGTTTTCGTTGTATTTCCTCTCAAAGTTACTGCAATTAGGACGATTACTATTGGAATTACTTGAAACTGCTTAGCCTATAGATCGTAGGATGTGTAGCTTAGATTCATTGTAGGTTGCAGGCGATTGGATGTTACTGGGATTCTTGAGCGCCTTACATTAAGGATCACNTGTAATTTCCAGAATAAGGATAGGAATGATAATCCTGAAAGTGATTTTGCCACATAATTAATGATATAACAATGAAAGCCATACATGTGATAGGNAGGTTGCAGGCGATTGGATGTTACTGGGATTCTTGAGCGCCTTACATTAAGGATCACAAATCACGAATGCTTTGAGCTATCATAGATCAAACCATCTTCAACAGAGTCCTGTGATAAATCCAAGAAAACGTGGTAATCATCGTATTCGTTTGAATATGAGTTCATCTGCTGGATAGCAGCTTCCTCTTACGGGAGAACTAGAAGGACCCATACCCCCTCCCCCCTACTCATATTAAAGAAAATGAAAGAATTGGAAGAGTACAACAGCCCAGGTAGTGTAATTTCCAGAATAAAAATAGCAATGATAATTCTGAAAGTAATTTCGCCACATGATTAATGATATAACAATGAAAGCCATACATGTGATAGGTTGATTCTTCCAGTAACATTTAGCGTCCAGGTCGATTCTGTACGGAGGTTCCGTAAGCTGAAAATCATTTCATCATAATATTCATGCTGAAAGCATCGCTGAAGAGGTGATCAATCATTTTTGATGCGAAGTTAAGGGCAAATCGAGATCGCCTTCAACTTTAAAATTGTGCCAGTGAACGTTAATGAATAAGGGTTCATTATCACCAAAATGATTATTGCGTCGAAAGAGATGTTCATTATCGCACATAATGGGACCACACTTTAAGCAATCCTTCTAGTGAGAACTGCCCAACGACTCTCGATAAATTAAGGGCAGGAATTGGAAACTCAAATGAATTAACTTGAATAAATAAACAGTCGTTATCCAGTAATCCTGAATGATGAAAATCCATTCATGGATATCAGTCATCAACTCGTTGGCGTACCTGTAATCCACCAGCATGCTCTTCAGCTAATAACGGATTCATCGAATCAACAACATTCTTCTTGCATGGTGCACCATCAGGCCATCCGTAAACACTTGCACCACATAAACTGATGATGACGATTCCAAATAACATAAAGCTCATCGTGTAGCACAATAAAATGTGAGTTGTAAAGCCCTCGTTCTGAAA